ATAACAATAAGGGAAGTTTCTGAAGCTATAAAAAAGATTAAACCAGGAAAGGTGCCTGGACTAGATGGATTTTCATGTTCTTATTATAAATGTTTTGAGTATGAACTTTTACAACCTTTACAAAACACAATGAACTCTATCTTTCAGGGAAGAAAGATGGCAGAAAGTTAGAAAAAGGCAAGTATAGCACTAATACCTAAAGAGGGACAAGATCTCACTTTAACAAGAAACTATAGGCAGATATCATTATTGAATAAAGATTACAAGTTATTCACAATGATTCTAGCTGATAGACTGAAAATAATTTTGCAAGAATTTATTCATGAGGATCAGTGTGGCTTTTTACCTAAAAGACAGTTAAAGGACAGTATTAGAAATGTATGCTGGTCTATGACCATAATAAAGATTTGATTGGAATGTTAGAAGTGCATTTTGGAATATTTAGAGCAACATAATGAAAAATATAATGAAAAAACAAGCCGCACTGATTTTCTTAGATGCAGAGAAGGCCTTTGACAATTTGAACTAGGCTTCTTGTTCAAGGTTTTGGAAGATATGAAGATATGAATTTTGGAGAGAACTTTATAAAATGGGTAAAATTGATTTATACTTCACAGAAAGCACAAATAATTGTTAATGGAGATCTAACAAAACCCTGTGAGATACAAAAGGAACAAGGAAGATATGAAGATATGAATTTTGGAGAGAACTTTATAAAATGGGTAAAATTGATTTATACTTCACAGAAAGCACAAATAATTGTTAATGGAGATCTAACAAAACCCTGTGAGATACAAAAGGAACAAGACAATGATGCCCACTGTCTCCTCTCTTGCTTATTTTGGTTCTTGAAATACTGACTAGAGATATAAGACAAGATGAGAGAAATGGACAATGGAGAAATGGTTGGTGAAGATGATGGAACTTGCTGAGGTGGCTAAATTGACTTCCTTGATCAGATAAAAGACAATAGCTATGTTTACTGCTGACTAGAAACTCCTCATGGACTTTTTGT